ATTGGGCAGCCCCATCACCTTGAACAGACTTCCAACTAACATATCCGCCTGGGCTTTATTCTTGGATTTGTTTTCATGTGGCCGCTTGAAAATGTATTTGACGCTTGGAGAGAAATAGAAGTGAATTACTGGGTTTGCTTAATATACTCTGTGAGGATAACTTCAGGACAGAAGGCCAGCAAGGCTGTTGACTTTTCAATGCCAAAACGTTTCTCTTTTTCTGTGGGTGTTATTATACCATTGTTCTTCCATTGGTTCTAATGGAATGCTTTAAAGTTCCACTTTTTAAACTGGTGAGCATGAAACTTAACCTGGGCAAGCTGTTAAAAAGGCATTTCTGCTGAAGACTGATTGAGGATGCAAGCCGTCTATATTGTAAACACTGCATGTGATTCTGTGAAGATATTTTAGTGAACTGCATTTTGAGAAATACTACTTTAAGCTCGTTGCTAGGGTATCATAACTATTCACAAGGTGATTATTTTGACTGTGAGTTTGGGGGGACTTTTCCCTTTGAGATTTTTTGCTGTTTAGCACAAGAATTCTAACAAGTTCTGGATTATCTTTATATGAAGCAAGGGATTTAAGTTTCTCCTGAGTGAAGTGGATATGAGAAAGCAAATGGGGAGTATTTAAAAGAGCACTTGGAGTTTAGAAGTTGTCATCAGTTCCTAATCATATAACATATATTTCTCAGACAAAGCCAAAGATGACAGATAGACCAGTTATTAATTTAGGCAGGTACCTCCTGAACAACTGATGTTTATGAAACATTTTACAACCCTAGAATTCTGAAGCTATTCTGGTGTGTGAGGTTTACATGATCTTTGTGGGAGCCACAGACATCTGTATCCCACACCCCCAACATTTTTCTTTTTAGATAAAAGGATGAGATGTAAGAAAACCTTTGCCCATACATTACATCTTTGCTGTACCACAAGTACAGTAACCTAAACGCTGGAACAAACCAAGGTGAAGCTGAATCCGTGACTCAACGCCCAATTACCCAACAGCATTAATTCACAAAGCTGTGGGAGGAAAAAAAAAAACCACTTCCTACATTTGACTTTTCTTTAATGCATTTCTAGGAACTTCTCCAAAGCAGCGGGCTAAGTTTTGCTGTCAAAATGGACTGCTTTCCCTTTTCTAAGCTTTCATGTGTTACCATGCCAATGAAGGTGATAAATTATACAAAGAAAGCGAGCTGAGCTGTGTGATTATCACAATCCAATGTTAAACTAGCCTCTTAAAAATTCTTTTCATTGGGCAGTGCCTGCCACTGCTACAGATGTTTCTTAGGGTGCAAAGACTAGCAAATATGCAGATTGCAGTATCCAGGTTTTTCACTGCCCATCTCCCTTTGATGTCTTAACTTTGAAGCCTCTTGCCAACGAAGCAAGAGGAGAAATTAAACATACTACCACTCATGACAAAAATTTTAGAATATCGACTTTACTTAAAAGTAAATGAACCCAAAGTGACAGTGTTGAACAAGATTCCAATTTTGGTGTTTTTTTTTTAAAGGTCTGTTGAGCCCTAGCTGGTGAGGCTCAGTGGACTGAGTGCCCGCCTGCGAACCAAAGGGTTGCCATTTCCGTTCCCAGTGTTGGGCACACCCTGGGTTGCAGGCTAGGTCCCCCCAGCAGGGGGCGCACGAAACACAAGTACACATTGCTGTTTCTCTCTTTTTCTCACTCCTTTTTCTCACTCTCTTCCCCTGTCTCAAAATAAGTAGATGAAATATTTTTTAAAAATTTAAAAAAGGCCTGTTGATGTTTTGGTGGATAAAGGTAGTGTTGGTAGTAGAGCACCTGACTCACTGAGAAGATGCTTATATCACTGATTGACTTGTGCAACTTCAGTGTGTGAACACGTTTCTTTTCCGGTTCCTCCCAAGCAACTTCACCTTCTGCTTTCTCTTTCTTGGTTGGCCCAAGAAAACCTCTCCCTTCATCTCTTCCAAGATTCAATTGAAGACCAAGCCTCAAAAGACAATTCCCCCACCTACGGTTTGACTTTATTTTGTTTAGTAATCTGGGTGACTGAGTTACTAGTCATTGGCTTAATGTACCTACTTGTCTCCCATTTACCTTTACCTCTAAGTTTAGGCTATTAGCATTTTGACTCACTCCCGCAATTCATATCTGCAGTTTCGTGTTTGGCTCCCAATCAAAGCCAAACTGCTTCTCGATGAGCAGTTCCTGGCATATAGTAGACACTCGAATACTTGTTGAATGAACCAATGATGTTTACCATCTTCATGCCTCCCCTTCCCACACACATTTTGTGTTTTGCTTGGTCTTTGCTTGGTTTTGTTTTTTTTCTAGTACTTCAGGGAAACAGAGAAAAAGAAGCATTAGCCCCATGAGAATATCGAATATTCTCTTTAAAGTCACATATTTACTTCTACTCAAAAGAAGAAAACTATTTTTCTTTATAACCTGGTATTCTGAACATGTAGTTTTACCTTTTGTTTGCAACCTGAGCACTACTGGTGGCAGAAGTAAGGAGAATGTCCATTCAGCTCCTGGTTGGGCTGGTGGGTAGAGTCCTTCTCCTTTTGGGCTCATTCCCTTTGCCATCCTTCCTGCTCATTCTTTTTGTTTTCTAACTTGTCTCCCACAGTCCTGTTGAAAGATAAAGTAGTGGTCATCCATTTTCCATGGGGGATGTCTCCTAAGAGCACTGGTGGATGCCCGAAACAGCCGACAGCACTGAACCCTATACGTACTATGTTTTTTTCTTATATGTGCATATGTAGCTTTTCACTTAAAGCAAACTCTTTACAGCTTCTCATTGGCATATCCAAATGGCCAGCACCACTAGTCTTGCACGTGGGGGCCATTATTAAGTGAAGTAAAGGCTCCTTGAACACAAGCATTGTGATTCTGTGACAGTCGATCTGATAACAAAGGGCTACCGCACGACTGAAGGGTGAGGAGCGTACACACTGTGAATGAGCTGAACAAGGAGTGGTTCACATCCTGGGTGGGATGGAGTGGGACAGAGTGAGAGTGCGTTGCACTGTTCCGAGTGGTGCGGAATGTGAAACAAGAATTGCTTATTTCTGGAATTTCCTATACAGTGTTTTTAGACTGAAGTGAACTCTTAACTAAAACTCTGTAGAGCGAAATTGCAGATAAGGGGCACTATTGTATAACACTGAATTAGAAATTGCAATATATAAATATGCCAAACCAACACATTGTACACCTTATGCTTACACAATGTTATTGTCAGTTATGTCTCAATAAAAATAAACAAAAAAGAAATACAATTTCAATAACTACTTATTTTCTTTCTCTAAAATGCGATATCAAAAATGTGAACAGAAGATGACCTACATCAGTATCAGCAAGAATATTTGTTTAGAAATGCAGATCCCTATTCCGCTGTATATCTACTGATTATGGGTCTTAGGAGATCAGGTCAGGGGTCTGTGTTTTACCCAGCACCCTAGGCATTTATATTGCACTCTTGCTTTTGATGCTCAGTTTCCCTTGACCAATGATGCATAGGCTTCAAGTGGGGAAATTAAATAAAATATATCCCCAGTTGCTTATACCTCGTTTGTAGATATTCCCACAATATAGTAAATAGCACACCAAAAAATCCAATGATCACATAAAAGAACTCTATGCCCATATGTCTATGTTTAAAAATGAAGCAAAGGCCCTCACTGGTATGGATCAGTAGGTTGAGGTGTTGTCCTGCAAACCAAGATTGCTGGGTTTGATTCCCAGGCAGGCACATGCCTGGGTTGCAGGCTGGGTCCTTGGTTGGGGGAGTACGAGAGGCAACTGATTGATGTTTCTCCCACACATCGTTCCTTCTCTCTTTCTCTTTCTCCTTCCCTTCCCCTTTCTCTAAAATTAAAAATAAGTAAGATCTTTAAAAATAAAAATGAAGCAAAGGGCATTGATTACATTATTTGATAACCATAACTTTTGTTGAAGACAATGTATGCTTTTTTAAAAGTTTTCTCTGAAAACCAATCATGAATCAGACCTATCACTTTTGTTTTTCCTTGGTTTTCAAATTTTGTATCTTGTTATGTGGACCTCTGTACCACTTTCTCTCCCTGCCCCTTCCGTTTTTCTCCTTCTCTAAATCTCTGGAGTCCAGCTCCTTTAGCCATAGTGATCTATACCTTATGATCTCATCTTTAGCACTTAGAAGCATGTTGTCACTAAGAGAACGATTCTTGCAGTCAGGTATTGCTCTGATACTCCCCAGCTTGGTGACATCGGGCAGGTTGCTTAACATCTTGCAGTTCGTATTGCTTCAACTCTAAAAAAGGAACTTACCTTATAGTGCTATTGTGAGATTTGAATGAGAATAGAGTGTATAAAGTGCTTAACAGAAATCCTAGCAGTCATCATTCACTTGGTTTTTGTGGTTATGAATTACAATGGTCACGTGGGAAAAGATGTATTCAAGAAAAAGGTTGAGTCCTTAGGAGACAAATATTGTGGTAGTTGCTAGGCTCTGAAGATAAAAAGATCAGCAAGATTTGGTCCCTGCCCTCCAGTTGTTGACAGTCTTGCAGTAAATGACGGATGATAATTTTACTTATAAAATATAGTGTATACAATGCTGTAAGATAATGCAGGATTGAATGAAGCCAATAAAGAGGGAATGATTAATATTTTAACTCTTCAGAGTCAGTTGCCTTGTTGAGTGTATATACAGAGGACATTGAAGTCTAGTAGATGGACTGAGATGTTGACTGCATTGAACATGCTCTCTAAGTGCAGAGAGGAATTCTGAACAAATCACTTACAAATTAATCCCTCCCATGGGACTATTATGGAGGGCAGAGGCATAGTATATAAAAAAGTATGTAACTTACTATGTTGTTCTATTATGTATTAACTTGTCTTAGACATTTTGAATATGTTAGTACAGATTCATTGAAAATAACCTGACATATTAATAAAAACAAATTAGGAACCATGAATCACACTTGCCTCCTTCTCACTTGTGTTTAATGTCTGCAGTTGACACTCCAGATCCCTATGTGGAACTTTTCATCTCCTCAACCCCTGACAGCAGGAAGAGAACAAGACACTTCAATAATGACATAAACCCAGTGTGGAATGAGACCTTTGAATTTATTTTGGATCCTAATCAGGAAAATGTTTTGGAGGTAAGTGAGTCCTCTGGGAACTGACTGCTGGATGGTCATCATTCATTTGATGTAGATGCTTAAGTTTGTCCCTTTAGTGCCTTCTTTCTCCTCAGTTAGATGTAGTGGAGTTTAGCTGGGCAGCATGGTAGACCAGCTTCTAGATGGTGCACATGCAGTTATAGGGGCGACCAATGGGGAATGCAGGAGTTAGGTAGGGCTGGGAAGACTCTTTTACCCTCTCCATGGGCCTTGGAGAAAGCATTTCTGTGATAAAGAGGAGGATCCAAATACAACAGAATAAAAGTATTTTTTGATCACCTTTAAGGCACAATAAATCTTTCCCAAAAAAGTAGCATGGATTTTCTACAGTAATTTCTTTCTCATATTCCAAAGTAGCCTTTCCCTTGAGAGCGTATAAATTTCCATTTTTGAGCGCACAGTAATGAGCAGGTTAGGAAAATGAAAAAATTTATTATTACTTTAGTTGAAAATATAGTATTTAGGGAAAAAGGTATTGTTACCAGTTGAATACTGAAGATCTCAAATGACTATTACATGTCATTTGAGAACATTAATTTTTTTACAACATGGTGGAAATTTTAGATATAATTTTCAGAGATCCAAGGGAAATTTTATATGTGTGCTGTATTTTTTAATTCTCTATAGATCACATTAATGGATGCCAATTATGTCATGGATGAGACTCTGGGGACAGCAACATTTCCCATATCCTCTATAAAAGTGGGAGAGAAGAAAGAGGTTCCCTTCATTTTCAACCAAGTAAGTAACACAGCAGAATTTTTTTTTTCAACTTTTTATCAGATAAAACCTATTTATTCTCGAAAGTATGGTTTGGTACTTGGAAATCTTATATTTCTTTATTTAGGTTCTTTATGAGAATGTTTTATTTTTTAAAGAGAAAAGAGTTTCCCTTGTGATTCTTGAATTAATCTTCTATTATTCTGAGATACATATATCAGAATAATAGGAGGTGCGTGTGTGTGCGTGCGTGCGTGCGTGCGTGTGTGTGTGTGTGTGAAGACTTTGGTTGAGGTATTACACTAAGTCCTACAGAAGGCGTTAACTTCTTTAGTTGTTTCAGATGATGACACTAGGGTTAAGCAATGGCTGCGGCCCTACTGGCACATCTACCAGAAAACATTCGGGAAGATACAGGAAGATGTAAAAATCTGAGAGGACTGGCCCAGAGGGAGAGAACAACTAAGTACACTTAAAAAGAAAACTGTTGGGACATCCAAACTATTCCCAAATTGCATGTTTACTCATAAATGCAGTCTGTGTGGAGGAGTATTTCTGTCTCAGACAATCCTCAACTACTTAGAGCGGAAGTATAAAAAGGGCAGCAGGAAAGCTATTGAGGTTATTGCCATCTTTATGTTTCTAGGTTTGTTGCATTCTCAAATTTCTTTCTTTACTTTTTTAAAATTAAATTTATTGGGGTGACATTGATTAATAAAGTTATGTAGGTTTCAAGTGTGCAATTCTATGGCACATCACCTGTATATTGGTTGTGTCCCCACCACCTACAGTCAAATCTTCCGACACCATATATTTGGCCACCCTAACCCTTTACCACCACTCCGCCCTTCTTCCCCCTGGTAACCACCATACTGTTGCCTGTGTCTATGAGTCTTTGTTTCTTTTTATGTTTGTTCATTTGTTGCTTTCAGTATTATACCCCACATATAAGTGAAATATGGTTCTTGGCTTTTTCTAACTTATTTCGCTTAGCATGATATTTTCAAGATCCATCCTTGTCACAAATGGCAGTATTTCATCTTTTCTTAAGACTGAGTAGTATCCCATTGTGTATATGTACCACATCTTCTTCATCCAGTCATCTATCAAAGGACACTTTGATGGTTTCTATGTCTTGCACACCATGAATAATGCTGCAATGAATACATATATCTTTGCCAACTAATAATGTTTTCAAATTTTGGGGTAGAAATCCAGAAGAGGGGTCGCTGGGTCATATGGTAACTCTATTCTTGCTATTCTAAGGAGACTTCATAATGTGTTCCATAGTGGTTAGACCAGTTTACATCCTCACCAACAGTGAATGAGGGTTCCTTTTTCTCCACAACCTGTCCAACATTTGCTATTACCTGTCTTGTTGATAATAGCCACTCTAAGGAGTGTGAGGTGCTATCTCATTGTAGTTTTCACTTGCATTTTCATAATAGCTAGTGAAGTTGAGCATCTGTTTATATATCTGTTGGCCACTTGTATGTCTTCTTAGGAGAAATTTCTGTTCAGGTCCTCTGCCCATTTCTTAAGTGGAGTTTGGTTTTTTTTTTTTGTGTTGAGTTGCATGAGTTCTTTATATATTTTGGATATTAACCCCTTGTTGGAGCTGTGTGCAAATATCTTCTCCCATTCTGTTGTTTGACTTTTTGTTATGTTGGCAATTTCTTTTGCTGTGCAGAAGGTTTTTAGTTTGATATAGTCCCATTCATTTATTTATGCATTTACTTCCCTTGCCTTTGGGGTCAAATTCATAAAACCCTTTCTAAGACCCAGATCCATAAGTTTAATAACTATGTTTTTCTTCTATGTAATTTATTGTTTCAAGTCATGTTTAGGTTAATTTTTGGGTTAATTTTTGTATGTGGTGACAAACAGTAATCTAGTTTCATTCTTTTGCATGTGGCTTTCCAATTTTCCCAGCACCATTTATTGAGGAGGATTTTTTTTTCTCCATTGTGTATGTGTATATATATATTTGGCTCCTTTGTCAAAAATTATTCACCCATATACATGTTGATTTATTTATGGGCTCTCAATTCTGTTCCATTCGTCTCTGTGTTTGTTTTTTTTGTTTTTCCTGCCAATACCATGCTGTTTCAATTATTGTCACTTTGTAGTATAATTTGAAGCCAGGGAGTATGATACCTCCAGCTTCATTCTTCTTTTTCTCAGGATTACTTTGGCTATTCAGGGTCTTTTGTGGTTCCATACAAATCTCATGATTTTTTGTTCTATTTCTTTAAAAAGTGTCATTGAGATTTTGATGGGGATTGCATTAAACCTGTATATTGCTTTGGGTAATATGGACATTTTAACTATGTTGATTCTTCCAGTCCATAAACACAATATCTTTCCATTTCTCTGTGTCTTTTTCAATCTCTTTTAAAAATGCTTTGTAGTTCCAGTACATAGATCCTTTACATACTTTCTTAAGTTTATTCCTAGGTGTTTTATTCTTTTTTGTTGCAATTGCAAAAGGAATTCTTTTTCTGTTTTTTCCCCTGAAATTTGATGTTAGTATATAGGAATACAATGTATTTTTGTACATTGATTTTATATTCTGCAACTTCACTGAATTTATCATTTCTAATAGTTTTTTTGTGGAGTCTTTAAGATTTTCTATACAAAGAAACATGTCATCTGCAAAAAAGCGACAATTTCACTTCTTCATTCCCAGTTTAGAAGCCTTTTATTTCTTTCTCTTGCCTGACTGCTCTGGCTAGAACTTCCAATATTATGTTGAATAAGAGTGGTGAGAGTGGGTATTCTTGTCTTATTCCTGATCTTAGAGAATAAGTTTTCAGTGTTTCAATGTTGAGTGTGATATTAACTGAGGGTTTGCAACATACAGCCTTTATTATGTTGAGGTACTTTCTTCCTATACACATTTTATTGAGTATTTTAATCATAAGTGGGTATTGAATCTTCTCAAATGCTTTTTTTGCATCTATTGATATGATCATATGATTTTATACTTTATTAATGTGTTATATTACACTGATCAATTTGTGTATGTTGAACTGTCCTTGTGCCCCTGAAATTAACCCTACTTGATCATGATGTATTATTTTTTTTATGTGTCATTGTATTTGATTTGCTAGCATTTTGTGTAGGATTTTTGCACTTGTATTCATCAGAGATATTGACCTGCAGTTTTCTTTTTGTGTGTGTTCTCCTTGCCAGGTCTTGGTGTCAGGGTTATGTTGGCCTCATAAAAAATGTTAAGAGGTATTGCCTCTTCTTTAATTTTTTGGAAGAGTTTGAGAAGGAAAAGGATCACATCTTCTTTGAATGTTTGGTAGGATCAATCACTCCTTTGTCTGAAACCATCTGGTTATGGACTTTTATTTTTTGAAAGATTTTTGATGGTTGTTTCAATTCTCTCACTGTTGATAAGTCTATTTAGATTCCCCAGTTCTTCCTGATTTAATCTAGAAAGGTTATATATTTCTCAGAATTTATCTATTTCTTCAACATTACTGAATTTAGTGGCATGTAGTATTCTTATATGATCCTTTTTATTTCTGTGATGTCTGTGGTAACTTCTCTTTCATTTCTAATTTTGTTTATTTGAGTCTTCTCTTTTTTAAAACCTTACTGAGTCTAGCCAGAGGTTTGTCGATTTTATTAATCTTTTCAAAGAGCCAGCTGCTGGGGACCTGGTCCACAACACAGGCATGTGTCCTGACTGGGAATCAATTTGGAGACCCTTTGGTTCGCAGGCTGGCACTCAATCCACTGAGCCACACCAGCCAGGGCATAATTTTGCTCTAATTTGTATTATTTACTTTATTCTGCTGACTTTGGGATGCTTTTGTTCTTTTTCTCCTTTTTAATGTAATGTTCAGTTTTTACTTGGGATTTTTCTTGTTACTTGTGGCAGGCCTGTAATGATATAAACTTCCCTCTTAGTATTGCATCCTCTACATCCCAAAAGTTTTGCTATGTTGTATTGTTGTTCCCATTTGTCTCTCTATATCTTTTGTTCTCACCTGTTATTTCTCCTTTGACCCTGTTGTTTTTTAATAGCATGTTGTTTAATCTCCACATATTTATGGTTTTATCACTTCATTTTTGCACTTTATTTCTAATTTCAAAGCATTATGGTCGAGAATATACTTGGAATGATTTTAGTCTTCTTAAATTTGTCAAGATAAGTTTTGTGTCCCAGCATATTGCCTATCCTTGGGAATGTTTTGTGTGCACTAGAGAAGAATGCGTAATCTGGATTTCTGGGATGAAAGGCTCTGTAAATGTCAATTATGTCCATTGGGTCTAATGTGTCATTTAAGGCCAATATTTCTTTATTGATTTTCTGTTTGAGTGATAAATCCAGAGCTGTCAGTGGAGAATTTATGTCCCCTACTACAATTTTGTTTTGATCTCTCTCTTCCTGTGGTGTTGTTAGTAATTGCTTTATACCTTTCAGGGCTCCTTGATTGGGTGTTTATGCACTGAGAAATGTTATGCTTTCTTGATGTGAGGCCCCTTATCATTATAAAATGTCCATCTTTGTCTTTTGTTACTTTTGTTATCTTGAAATCTATTTTGTCAGATATAAGTACGGATACCTCTGCTTTTCTGTGGGTGCCGTTTGCTTGGAGAATCATTTTTCACCCTTTCCCTTTGAGTCTAACTTTGTCTTTGCAGCTTAGATGTAGTCTCCTGAAAGCAGCATATGGTTGGATTTTGTATTTTTATCCAATCTACTACTCTGTGCCTTTTTATTGGTGATTTCAGTCAATTTACACTTATGATAGTTATTGATGTATGAGTATTTCCTATAGCTTTTTTATCTTTGTTTTCTGGTAGCTGCATGGCTCCATGGTTTCTTTTTCCCTGTGTTTCTATCTGTTTCTTTGGTGGGGGGGCATGATGTTCTATAATTTATCCTGTTTCCTTTTTTTTAAATTATGTGTCTCAGTTTGGGGTTTCTTGGTGTGCGTTTACCATTATGCTTATGCAAAAGAAAGTTTCATGTATGGAGTAGTCCTCTTTCTTCTGAATGT